CCCTTTTTCAAAATTCAGTATTGCATTTCGTGATTCGACATACAGGCTGGGGTCCTCCACATTACGTCCCGTCGAACAAGGTATCTTGAAGCATCATCCAATATACCACAGCCTGGCCGCTGCCTCACAAGAGGTTATAGAAGGGGTGACATTACCACAGCGCAACATAAATTGCGCAAAAAAAATAAAAAAAAGAGAAAAAAAAAAAAGATAAAGTAAAAAAAAGTGCGAGTCTTTTGCTACAGACTGCGAGGGCCAAGTCCCACCAGCATGGTTGAGTTTCCTTGACAACAGAATGTGGGAGTGTTTGAGGAGATGAGCAGAAATTGCGTGGAGTTTCCTCAAGCGCACATGGCCACAAACGCGTCCAGATTCAGGCGTTGAGGAAACTCAACGCTGCTAGAGACTAGTGGGACTTGGCCCCCGCTGCTCGTGCTAACCCGTCTTCAACCGAATAGAACGGCCGGTCATTACCGCTGTGCATCCGGTCTGAAAGGTGGCCCAAATACGGCCATAATGACCGGGCGTTCTTTTTTTTTTTTTTTTGATGACCGGGCGCTCTATTTGGGTGAAGACGGTAGTGGTGCCCTCACGACCTGTTACCCTGCTCCTCTAGCTTTTTTTCTATCTGCCTATATCTGTGATTCTCTTCAACCAATGGGATTTGTGAATTTGTGAATTTCAAGGGTATATATGGGTTTTGCGAAGGTGACAAAGGATTTTTTATTTATTCGGAACAGGTGTAGTTATTCGTCAAATAAAAACAGCATTAAAAAAAAAAAAAAAAACAGCTTCACTGGTTGTCGAGAAAAGAAATATCATAATTACGGCGGGGGCGCGAGTGCTATCACTCCCCCGGTCTGCTTCCGAGAGCATACTCACACGCTAGGTAGGAGTCGACTGAATGGATCTGACGGTAATTGCGGCCCGTCCTGAATGTATCTGACCGCAATTACGTCCACAGATTAGTCGTGACAAGTCGTAGAGTGAGTACGCACTTACCAACACTTTCACTGTGCTGAGCAGAAGGGAAATGAAAAAGAAAAGTAAAAAAGCAGACACGATAACACAGAGAAGCAACATGCAGACAGAGAGAGAGAGAGAGAGAGAGAGAGAGAGAGAGAGAGAGAGAGAGAGAGAGAGAGAGAGAGAGAATGTGGAATGTGAATGTGTGAGAAAAGAGAGAG